TCCTGCTGCACTTTGCACCCTGTAGGCCGTGCGGGTTCCCAGGCTGCCAGGCAGCAATGGGGAAGCGAGGTACACCTACAGCTGCACTTAGCACATGGCTGAGTCGAATACAGACCCCTTGGCCAGCAGTCCAGGTCTGAGTGACCCTGTCTGTGACGGCCTGAGGCTCTATAACCTGGTGTCACGATGTATGGGTAATCCAAGCTTGAATCTACCACCATCTGCCTGGCTGCTAAAGGCATCTGCAGTTCTAGAATGATGCGTTCGCTTAAGGGCAGAGGGATCCGCAGAGCTTGGTCAGAAGACAACTCCTTAGTCTGCCCGTTCCAGAAATTCACAAGCACTCCCCTCCTGTTGTGTGCTGTGCATATTAAAAAAAAAAAAAAAAGGCAAAGAATGTATTAGAAGCATGTCAACCTGTTTGATTTATCTCTTAGACAGCAGGAGATAAAAGTAGCAGTTTGTGTTTCAGACAGTTTTGTAACAACTTCCATGATTTTTTCTTCATAGTTTAAAATTTGACCTGCTTTTGAACTTCCTCTGAAGAGACAGCAGATAGCAAAATTCTCGCTCGTCACAGTGAGCCAGGATTTTACCCTGCAAAAGCTGGAAACTAGGCTAACAGATAACCAGGCGAACACTCATGAGGGCCAGGAACTTTTTTCAACTTGTGTTGGGAGGATGCACCCACCCCCAGCTTTTTAGGAAGTTTCCACTCACAGAACAAAGCAAAGGCTAATTCTGGGAGCTGCATTAATTCTGGCACTGAAAAAGAACAGGCTGATTAGTGCCAACAACAACAAAAAAAAAGATGATGAAAAGAACCCAAGCAGCAGGTGGTGAATTCTCCATGATTGAGACTGTTCTCTTTTCTGTATAGCGACCAGCAACCGTGGCGAGTCCAGCACTGTTAAGAAAGCCACGTACCTAAGCGTGCCTCCTTGTTCTCCATAACCTTTAGCACAGTGCCCGGGCCAAAACGCTCGGCTCTAGCCTCCCACGGTGCCAAGACCCTGTCTCCTGGAGCGAGAGGCTGTTGCCTGGCATCTTCGTAGTGGACAATGTCGTAGAGAGGCGTTTGCTGCATGCGAAGCTGTACCTTGCCTTTCAGAGTGCGACTTTTGTCAAACTCAATTAAAAAGTGTTCCCTGGAGCTCTACAAGAGTAAAACATGCGGTTTGCGAGACAGACATCTGGGTCCAATTAAGGGCCAAACATAAGTGCTAAGAGGGAAGTGGCAGAAATCCCAGGAAGCAGAACATGATCTGGGAATGTAGCTTTCCTCTTCTACCAGATTTTTCACTGTACTCTGTCCATATTGGACTTCGAAAGTAATTAAAAAGCTGGGGCTTAAGGGGCTGACAGCCTTTCTCTTCCTTTTATTTTGGACTTGGATTTTAGTAAGAATACAATTAGCACGCTAAGGCAGAACTTTACCAGGAAAACCTCCCGTCAGAAAAAGAGTAGCCAAAAGAAACTGCTGTGTATGATGCAGTTCATTACATAGTAATCAAAAGGATAACAAACCAGTAAAATGTCATAACTGTCATAAACATAAACACTTTAAGCCTTCAGCAATGGGTGTGGGGAAGATCTATGACCGAAATCTCAGCCTTCTCTCCAGATCTATAAGCACACTTCACACAAATAATGCTGTCAGCCCCTGCTCCAGCTAACGTCACTCAGGCCGTTAGCTGTCCCCATCTGTTCCACCCCACACTGAAGCTGACAGCCACCCTCAGCTGCACTAGCCCCACCGTTTATTTAACTAACCTGCGAACTGGGAAATGCACCGGATTTTTAAAGGAAGCCAGCAAAGGGGGATTTTCTGTCTGGTATCCAAAATCATCTCACAAATCCCAGAAACACAGAAGGAAGAGAACGAGGAAAGCTCTCAGTTCTGTAAGGAGGAGGTGCCTGGAGGCAGACATTTTGGATTACTAATACTAGTGCTGTGTAGCTAATTGACTTTGCTGCTAGACTGGGCGGAAGTAGACAATAGGGATAAGGGACCTGTTTTGTTTGCTTGTCTCTGAAAAACAACTTATTGTAACTACTCAAATGGATTGATTTCCAGGCTGCTTCTGTTTGCAGGACTCCTCACAGTAAACAGCCAGTCATCATCAGGAAACAGATGAAAATCGGATGTGGGGAGAGAACAGAAGTGTGTCACGGGAGAGCCACCCTACAGCAAGGCCATGGGACTGGCGAGGCATGGGAAGAACAGGAAAAAGACACACAGATCCGAGGGAGAGCCTTTTACAAGCGTAGTTCCCAACAAATATCTACCTTCACCTCTTGGGCAATGCGGCCCAGGTAGTAATAGCCGTCAGCTTCTCTCCTTGCCAACACACGAGCCCCCCTTATGAAACTGGAAGCCTCTGGGGATGAATCAGTGAGATTTCTTTTTGCTGAGGATATCAAGGGCATACAAAGGGAATCTGGGTTCCATGCACAAACAGGAAAGCTGTGGAAAACAAAAATACAAGAAGTAATGAAGACCTTGGCAACAGAACTTCTGCAACTTGCTGCAATGAAAACAAACTAAATCCACATGGGACACCCACCCTGCCCTGCACTAATTGTCTTTGTTTCCTAGCTTTTTTCTTCTCTGCATTTCCAGTGACTCAGCTATAGATTTTGAACTTACGATGTTACTGGACATCTTGGCAGCAGATAGCCACAGGGATCTTTATGAGCTGCGTGACAACACTGGACATGTGAGATGGACGTGGAGCGTACCTGGAGGGGGGGAAGGAGGAGATGGAAGCAGAAGATGAGCATGACTCAGAAGAGCAGGGAACTTAAAATCCCCTAACTATAAGGACGTCCGCAGGGTAGACATGCAAAACCTGTGCTGTTTCAGCTGAGGATGTCAGTTGTTTGGGATGTTAACAGATTTAGAAGATATTGTTGTTTATTTAAAATACAGTATCTGACCACCTCCGCCTAAGAGTAAACAACACCGAAGTCTGTGAATCAGGATATACTGGCTGTAGGCAAAGCTGTACAGTCACCTAGCAAAGACAAAGTAAAATCAAAGCAAGGCATTTGTTCTGTCCTTTGGGATCTTCACCTTCACCTGTCAGAAACACCTCTTTCACCTGTCAGAAACACCTCTTTTCAAGTGCTGGTCTGTGAAGTTCAATGAAATCACTTTACAGGGCGAATCTTTCCCTGCAACAGTAAATGGAGCCAGACCAAGATATACCCGAATTTGACCCCAAGTGTTGGCGATGATGCCTTTTGCTCGGGGGCTACGTGAAGTGCTCTTCCCTCGCAAGCAGAGATTTAAGGTACAAGTAATGTACAATAAGAAGGGTGGATATGCCAGCGTGGGATGTCAGGTGTAGCCTGCCTGTAGAGATGCCAAACCTAATTTAAATCTTTGTCCACAGACTGCTTTGCTCATAATCTGCCAGGCAGAAGAAGGTTACCCTTCCAGAAGGCGACAGAAACTCCTCTCCAGTTCTACTTTGTGAAATGTCATCCAATAAAGATTCAGGAGGAACTCATTAGTATGCACTAATCTCATATTAGTGGCATACCTCTTCTGAAGCAGTAGGGGGGAGTCTGATCGCTTGAAAGGACCCCCCTGATTGTCTGGCTGCTTTCTCCAGTATTTTTTGCTTGCTTCTTTCGTGATCGTCGGAATCTCCCAGGGGGCACACAACATGTACTGGATGCGACTTGCGCTCCATGAGAAGCCGGCAGATTTCCTCGGGGAGCGCGTCAGTGAACAGACACACCGACTGGCAGGCCGGGTCCTCAAACGCCACCGCCAAGCCGCTGGCAGCGTTCCTGCCGTTCTCGAACCGCAGGGATCGAATCCAGGCTGCTGCTTCAGCGACGCTACTGAGCGAACACCTGACTAGGCCGTTGCACCACTTTAACACCTACTGAAAAAAAGAAGAAGAAAGAAAGAAAGAAAGGACCAAAGCCCACGCACACACGCGGCTCTTTGCTAACGTGGGACAGGCGTGAGGGTCTTTCTCGGGAATTCCTCAGCTTAGGCGCCCTACCGCACTCCCGCCACAGCAGCCAGCCCACAGAGCGGGCCGGGCCTGGCCTCGCCCCGGCGGCTGGCGCCCCGCCGCCGCCGCCCTGCCCGCTCCCCGCCCGCCTCGCCTTGCTGGAGAAGGCCACCACGTCGAAGAGGGCGCCGGCGGGGCCGGCGGGCCTCA